GGTCTACGTAACCGTAATGATCCAGATTTATATCTGACCAAGGCCTATCACTTCACTTTGTTGAATTTCTATGCTGTTACAATAACAAGAACAGGACATTATCCTCTCTCTATACTGACCAACTTCTATATGTCGAAGTTTCCAAATCCACTGGATGGAGTGTCCCTGATCTCAGATGCAAACGACTGTTCATCCGGGAATGGAATTGAACTCTCTTTGATTTGACCTCTGCTCGAAACTAAAGGGCTACCTTTCCGAAATTTCTCGTTTATTCACACTCTTCAACTGGACATTCATCTTGATGGCATACCAATTCCGACGGTGAACAACCCGAAATCTTAGGGCCTAACTTGACAGCTTTATATCCTTCTCCGCGCACATAAACCGCAACATAATCTTCAAGTTGCTCGCCGACAGCACCTGGGGAAATAGCAAAGAAACGTTGTTGGATACGTACAAGAAAATTGTTCGTTCAGTCAATGCTGCGCCTGTTTGGTCGCTGAGGACTAGTTGGACGCAATGGACGAAGCTGCAAACTTGTCAGAACCTTTTATCTCGAACTGCGGCATAATGCTTTCTGGTGTCGCTCGAGCACCATCTCCATAGCTAGGCCTACAAGCACAAAAGAGCACAAAAAATGCTCAGAAAGCAGTTTTTGTTTGGATGATACACACCTGAGCCCCCAACAGGCCCTTGCTAGAGGAAGAGGCTCCGCCCGGGCACGTCAGATGGCATCTTTTCGAATATATGAACTTGGTTCAGACCTACTTCTAGCAACCTTCCGATCTGACGCCATACCGATAAGTAATCTACGGTATTCATAGAGAGTCGGTCAATATCTATCACGACTCTCGACCTAATAATTCCGTGATCGGAGCCCAATCACCACCCACTACTGACACATAGTTTCGATTGCCACTTTGCTTGCTGCTGAAGCAGGGTGAGGGACTCCTACTTCTATACCTTGTAAGCATCAAGTGAGGCCGTCTGTCTCTTTCTTGCATTCTGAAAGTTTGAGGAGAAGGGCGCGGGTGATATTTATTCTAAAAGTCGGAAGGAAAGACCACTAACTAGTAAAGTCCTATAGATCCATAAGTATAATTTCCTTTTTGCTAAAAGCAAGACAAAGGTATAGGCAAAATTATATACTATCTAACACTTTGAAGCAGATACTTCCTTGTATGCGCTTACTGCGCAGATAGCGGGTGTCCTTGAGTGTGGAGTAACTATGCTTAAAGCTTTCCTCGATATTGAGGAAACCTTCGACAATCCGTCAAATGAGGGGGTTTTTCGGGCACTAAAGAAACGACGAGTGTAGCAAACCATCCACACATGGATAGCCAAACTGCTTCAAACAACGATTGCTGAAACTGATAAAGGGGATAGTGTGGTACAGTTGCAAAAAAAAACAAAAGGATGTCCGCAAGGAGTCGAAGGACGAAATCCTAAACGTAAAAATACAAAACAACAGTATCTTTTATTTCTGCACCCAATGAGAAACAGAGGTCTAACTTACGCAAAATAGCTGAACGGTTGCATATTAGCGTGGTTGGGAATACAACTTTAATTTGAGCCGCTGCACATCTTCATAGAACAGACAGTCAAGCGTACTCTCTTAAACGTAGGAAGAGATGGTTATGACAGAGGTAAGGTTCTATCGTCTAGGAATATCGGGAAGCTAGGATCCCAGTTTCCGATTGCTCTTTTCCCAGAGATAAAATAAATAGGTCAATTATTTTCGAAAACCAGTTCAAAACATTGCTCTGCAGAAAGACGACCGGGAGCAACTCCGTTATAGAGGGACATGTACAGGCCAGCATCATGCAGTGGTACACCGACGTTTTTAAAATAACAGAAGGCATTTCGGTGGGCATTTATGGCCCCAGGATTTGGCTATCCGTGCACATAGGAAAATTCCCGAGCATTTCATAAGCGGAGGTCTACGCCTTCCATCGGTGTGCAGAGATTGACTTTCGTATGTAGATGATACCGTAATGACAGAATTCTAATCCTTAGCGACAGTGGGGCGAAACTTAAAGCACTGTCAGCCTTCAAGGTCATATCATTGAGAAATTCAATGCCCTATCTCAGCGCAATAACATACAGCTACTGTGGGTGTCAGGTCACAAGGGAATCCAGGACGGCTTAGTAAGGATAGCGGCGGTCTCAGCTCCAGTAGATCCCGAGAAATTCCTTGCAACAGACTCAAACCCGACTCGAGAAGGAAATGAATAATAATTACGAGAGAACAACACTGGCATAGCACGGTAGGGCTTGAAAAAGCCAAAAGCTTACTGGAAGGTAAAATCAAAAAAGATACAAACAAAAATTCAGAATCAATACAGGCATCCCACTGTACACCGCAGACTAAGAGGAAATCTGCATAAGCTGGAAATCTGGTCTAATGATCTCAGTCGTTCCTACGCTTCAACTAAGGTGGCTCCATTGCACCTTATCCTTGAATGTGAATGGCCAGAGAAAGTAAGCGCATATACTCCTTACCTCCGAAAGCTCTTCTGGACTTCCTGGAGTCTATAAGAAAAAACTATGTGTTTTGATGATCGGAGGGCACAATAGACTCACTATGTCACGGTGCATACCTCTTCAATTTATCTATCTATATATCTAGAAGGAAACTAACACGTTTTTGGCCAAATCCTCATAATTTTTTTAAAGCTTTAAATTTATAGCATAAAAATAAAAAACTGGAGATGCTGTTTCCAAAATTAGTGAAAGTGTAAATCAAAACGGGGTTTAAGGCCAAAAGCTTTTGAGGACCAATTATAATCCTGACCGAGACCTTTTGGGTGACATAAAGATTTAAAAAATCGGATGTCTAATAAGAAAGCTATAGCAAAAAATGCGAATTAGCTGTTTTAGCGGGTGCCTAAAAATAACTTTTACACCTAAAATTTGTTCTCGACATACATAAGTGTTCAAATAAAACTGACACATGCTAAAATTTTTTTCGTAATACGCTTCAATGTTAGTGATGTGCTGAGTCAATACATTTAAGTATTGATCGTTATTCGGTACCGATTTAAAGAGTATCCAATACTCTCGATACTCGGTACCGAAACATTTAGGTTTCGAATAAAAGCGCACACAGGCCAAAAATATGGAAAAAACGGTTCAGGGGAGACACGCCTATCAAAACCCGAATGTAAGAGCCAGTAGAGCTTTTAATACTGATTCAAATGAAAAATGTATACATATATGTCGGTTCGAGGCCATAATGCAGAGAAACGCTTACTTGTTTGAAGCATTTTTGTTCCAGCTGAATCAGACGATATTATTTTCGTAGGCCTGGGGGCAGATTCTGTAACAATTTTAGAATCGGTATCGGTTTTGTTGACGTATGATATGAAATATTTGTATGCCAACAAGTGCGATATCGATCGGAAACTTGTCGCTAACTGGTTACAGAATCTTCCCCCTGAAAGGCTTCTTCATCCGTCTAAGCATTTTTCTTGAACCTTGGATCGACTAAAGTTAAAACCGATAAAATAATAATTCTCTGTTGCGATAAGTTCACGTGTTTTAGCCGATATCATATAAATTAGTAATGAAAGTTTTTTCCAAACTTGAAATTTACAGCATTATTCTGTATCACGAACGATAGGCAACACGAACGATTCGTCTGCAGAGGAATGCTTCAAAAATTAGTCCGGGGGCATCATTTTAGTCGGTTTAAACACAACCGAGACCATTGCAACGTAATGTATGAAAAGCAACATGAAGACGACCGATAGAGTTTAAAATCGCAATCAGAGAGGTTGTCGTCTGCAGACGAATCGTTCGTTTTGCCTATCGTTCGTGATACAGAATAAGGCCCTTAATGTAAAAAATCGGTATCGGGTTCCGAAAAGGAAATATTGGGTACCGAAATCTTTTTTAAGTATTGGGTACCGACAATTTAGACCATCACTATTTTTTTTATTTATTCAATTCAATTCANAACATTTTTTCTTCTTCCATTCTTGCTCACGTTTTGGCATTTCTCTCGCGCAATTGCACCAGTGTGACGTCACACAAAAATTATTCTCAAAAATCCTCTCTGATCGGCGCAATCTTGTATTCTATCATTTTTGCCATTAATTAAGTCATAGACAAACATAAGCGACTGGACAATTCTCTTCGCTTCCAGAGATTTCAAATTAATTAGTTTGCACCTAGCACCATATGAAGGAAGAGGATCCGAGAAATTAAGCGGCTGAAGAGCAAAGCGAATAAATTTTCGTTGAACACGTTCAATGTAGATAGATGCTTAAAAGCAATTGAAATTCTTCTTATTAGAAATAAAATTTATAGTTAATAGTTTTTATTCATTTGGACTTATAGTTCTAAGAAATTAAATGCTTCTAGAAGATTCGCTTTTCTATTAGTTTAAAAACATTTCGATGAGTTGAAAATATCGGTAAAACATTTAGCCATGATTAGCAACGCGGTGGCTTTCCACTGCGCTTGATGTTAAGTAAAAACCAATCGCGTTTTATATTTAAAACGTTACAAAAGTTAGTTTATTTTTCGTAATAAAATTGTGTTTGAGTACACATACCAAGAAATATAAGCTCTGATCCAGTACTCCATGAACTTACAGGATTTTACACGAACTTGCAGGAAGTTGCAGGAAAAATGTTCCCGTACTGAAAATTCTCCAAAATCCTGTAAATGAGAGCGACTTTTTTAGAGTTATGTAGAGAATGAAGTTGCAAGATTTTACCCGAACTTTTTCTTCTGGTAAAATCATGAAAAGTGTCAAGCAATCACTGGTTGACGTTTTTACAGGAAAAATGGTTTTTGTGTTCCCGTACTTTTTGTTGTTACTCACTTTTTTCTCTCACTTCAGAGATTAATTTTGCTGTTTGACAGTTTTACAGGATTTTTCACAAAAAGTATTGGATCAGAGCTATAGTATGTAAAATATGGTGATGTGCCTTGGCGTGAAGGTAGCCGTTTCTCCGTGTGCACGCGCTGAGACGGTTGAATTTGGAGTAAAATAGTAAAATATTAAAACAATTTATACACGTACATACATACAAGATTCTATATAATAGATGCAAAAATAAAACACAACAAAATATCAATATCTCAGACTTCTTCATTATTTTTGTTCCATGCTTGTAAGTTGAAGCTTCCAAATGAGCCAAATATAATGGCGGCTAAAAAGTAGGAAACGCCCAACGTAGCCATTACATAATTCCATTCAGTCTTGTTACCCTGTAAATTAGAATACAATATATACACACAATATGCATTTCGATATTGTACAAAATATGTCGCAGAAAGTTAAAAGGGACCTTCGTGACGAAGAAATAGATTTTTACAACAAACCGAAGCTTTCTAGCTGCATTCGTTTTTTCAAAAATTCACCTCAAACTTTGAGAAAACGTACCAAAAAAATAAAATTCACGTGCCAAATTCAAAGTCGCCTTTCTCGAAAACTTCAGTACCTTAGAACCGAAGCTCCCTTTAAACCTTCCTGGTCAAATATGTATGTAGTATGTATACATTACAAAAATAATATATAATTTAATAATATACTATTTGGACATGCAAATGCAATATTTGCTGGCTTTTTAAACCTCAACCAAACTAAATAATTCAAATTTTAGCATTCACGTTAAACTTTATGAGAAGAACTTCGCAGCAAGTTTTTCAGTTGGTAAGCGCTTTTTTCAGGCTTTCAAGGTTTTATTAAGCTATACGTTTTATAAGCTGAATAACGTGCTGAAAGCCTGTAAAACCTAGTGCGGAGCTCTACTCCAAGATTGTGCTCCAACTGACACAAATAGTTTTTTCCAATACCTTAAAAACCTTAAGGTTTTGTTATGCATATTTTGCATTACAGCGCATATATGTACATATGTATAATTGGGTGGCCCAAAAATGCATGTGAAAAAGTAAATTCAGAATCTATTTTCTGTCACCCCTAGTATTGTTCTATACCAAAAAAATATACCCCTATTTTTTTATTTTAAAATCAAAAAATATTTAGAGGTCGCTCGAAGCGCTCAAAGTTTTCCATGTACCTTCCGTAGAAATGGTATAGAATTCTTGAAAATCAATATTTTTCGATCGGAAAACTCTGTTTCTCTTCAGGAGATTCCCGATAATAATACCCATAATTTACTTAACAATTTTTTCAAAGTAACTATATTTTATAGGTCCGCCAAAACCCTCAGAAAATGCCAGAAAATGCGATCCAGGATAAATAAAAAATCTTTAATATTAAAAAATGTTTAAATAATTAATTGGGTATTGGTATTAGAAGTCTCCTGAAGAGAACCGGAGTTTCCCGATGAAGAATTCTATACCATCTACGAAAATTGTTTTTTTTTCCACTGAAAACTTTGAGCGCTTTGACCGACGTCTAAATATTTTTTGATTTCAAAATAAAAAAAATAGGGTTATATATTTTTTCGATATAGAACAATCCTAGGGGTGAGAGCATTAAAATTCCGACTTTACTTATTTTGAACCACCCTAAAGAGTATCCTTGTTTATGCCCCATTACAAAGGGGGAAGGCTGTTAGAATTCCCACACAGGAAAATGCGTTGAAATACCTTGGAAAATGTAATGTGCTTATCGAAAAATATCGATGCTCAAATCAAAGAAATACCTCAATCTATTTTCGCCCACAACGCCCTAAGTAGATTTCCTCCTTTTTTTATTTGTCAATAACCGATTGACGATTTGGCCCGAAACCAAAAATAATTCGCCAAATTGTTGCTCTTCTTATCTCGAAAGCCTCCAAATCCATCCCATCTTTGTTTGTCAACAACCAGGTTTCTGTGCCTTATAAAAGCTCGGGCAAGTAGAGCGTAATTTTTTTCTGTCGAGGAAGCACTCTGCTTTTAAATTGGCTACCGAGCTCAAGGAAGCGCCTGTTGATAAAATTTATACTCCGCTCGATCTCCACGCTGGCGTTATTGGTGGTAGTAACGTGTGTCCCAATTTGTGAAGGCCGTTGCCAAGAGATTATTTGTCTTGTGCTCGTTTACCGCTCGACGAACCTCTTTTGCCGTCTTATGTAAGCTGGAAAATGCTATGCTTACAGCCCTGGTCTTGATACCGACGATGTCAATGCCATCTGCATCCGCAGCATCATTGTGCTTTTGATGTAAATGCTTCCGATGAGGTTCAGATGGGCAGCTCGTATTACGCTTTTTAACATCAAATTAAAGGGTTCGCATGAAAGTGAATCGAATCCATCGCCTTGCAGAGGTCCCTCCCAATTCGGACCGAGAAATATTTGACCTCAACGTTTCTCTACGTAGTCGTATTCGTTTTGCAGGGATTACAAATTTAGATATGTCTTCCTAGGAGCAGCTCCTTTTCGTACTAACAAAATTGATTTTAAAAGCTTTGAAAAGGTGGTGAGTGTCGACTTGTTTACCTAATGTCTTTTCGAGAATTTGACATACTGTGAAAACGTGGATATGCCAGGCCTGAAGTCAAACCCATAAGATTCAATCAGTTCGTTCATGAAGGGTTTCACTCGTTCACACCATATCGTCGATGGGTCTTTGTATGCAATAGTTAGAGGGCTTAACCCGCCGTAATTGTTACAAGCGGCATAATCTTCCTTTTTTTCGAAAGTATACTGGGATTCCAATCTTCGGGCATGTATTCATCGCCGCCGGCTTTAAACAGCTCACTCGGTGTTCCGTCGGCTCCAGAGGCTTTGTTTTTTAAGCCGCTGTGCTTAAATCGTCTTGGTCCAATTGAATGGTCAGGGTTCTTCATCAAATGCGCTAATTGTGTCGATATTCAAAAGCGTTGAGCATATCTCAAGTCAGTTTTCCTGATTTCCAATTGCATTTTAGCTATTCGAACTCGAGTCCTTCCGCTTCTCTTTTCTTCCTCTGGAAAGTACGTCTCTATTATTACGTTTTTTCCACGTTCCGCTCAGTTCAAGCATGTCTCTGAATAAAGCTTAAAAAGGCCCTCAACACCTGAAAACCCTGGTGTGGTGTTCCAATCTAAGAGTTTTCAGGCGCCAACCGCTTTTCCGACTTTCAGCACTTTATTCAGCTTTAAGTTTTACATTATGGCCTGAGTGCTGAAAGGTACAACGCCTGAAAAGCTTCTATTGTTTGCTATCTTTAGTTTGGTTGAGGCTTTAGTTTAAAGAACTCAAATAACAGTTATGGATACACATATGTACATACCTGCACAGCTATAGCGGAGATGATGATTGGTGAAATGAAACCATTCCATGTTGAAAAAGAATTTGCAATTCCCGAAAGTAAACCCGCATATGACGGTGTTAAGTGTAATAAACTGGGCCAATAACCGCCAGAAAATGCCATATCAGTGAATATACCCACAAACAGAATCATCAATATAATAATAATATGTTGATTTTCACTGGTTAACACAATGATGACAAGTAACTTGATTGTTAGGAGATTACCTAAATATTAGTTAATTAAATGATATGTATTTAGTAAATTAGAAAATTAAAAAAAATTACTTAATATTAAAAAAAAGTCATAGCAGTTCCAATAATTGACCCCCCTAATATCCAGTTTATACTATTAATATATGTACTTACACAAAACGTAAAATATTTTTCCATAAAGTGTTGACTTATAGTTTGGTTTTCTTACAACATATGTGCATAATGGCACAGTGATGATTTTGGAAATAATACCACCCAAAAAGGGCGTTGCTGCGAATATTCCCATCTTGCAAAGTAGAAAAGATGAATTATATCTTTATAGCTGGATATGTGAAAGTTCCGCATAAACTTACTTGTGGTATTGAGAAACCCAGAGCTTCTCTCAAAAATCGTGGCAACATCATTGTCATCACAATTATGCCATAGCTGTGGAAAACGTGCGTCAATATAAAGGCATACACTGGTGGCGAGGAGAGAATTTTCTTCCAAGGTACGCTTTTTGACTAAAATAGATATGTATGTATGTATGCTTTCGAATAATACATTTTTCTTTAGGTTACTTACTTTCGTCTTTTCATTGTTTGTTGATTCCAAATAATCGCGCTCTCCTGCTGATAATCTCGGATGTTCTTCCAGTGTATTATATACCAGCCAATGACACGAAATTCCAAATATCAAAGCAGTGACACCCACTATATAAAACGTCAATTCCCAATTGTAGTGGCAAAAGAATGCAGATAATGGAAAAGCGATGAGAGGACCAATTGAGTAACCGCCATAAGCAATTGACAATAACGCGGTACGCTCCTTTTTATGGGCCCATGTGGAGAATAGTTGGTATAGGGCAGGATTTCCAAAACCCTACGTTTTATGTGTGGGGAAAATTTTTGAGAAATAAATAAATTTTTAGTAATGAAATATTTGTTTACCTTAATTTAGATAATAATATGTGCTCATGTCCGGCTACAAAATATTGATACGGATCAGTTTATTTTTCATAAAAAATTTTCTAGAAATATATTTGTACTACACTCTAAAAAAAATTGTGTTAATTTCCTAGCTAAAAGGTAGGTTACTGATTTCCTACCTTATTATCCGCGATATTTCGGACTTTTTTGAGTGTAATATAGCTGCTGTGGTGTGCGTAATTTTACTACGAAAGTATGTACAAACTACAAAATACACATCTGCCGTTTGATTTCACCCGTAGAATTGTGTACAGCCGCTAATAAAAAGGATTTTTACACACGAAAATGTGTAAACGAGAAAAATACATACTTATCGTGTAAATTTACCAAAAAATTTAAAAATTAACAAAAATATACTCGATTTATATTCGCATTTTTAAGCAGATTTTTTAGAGTGTAGGAATGTAAATTAACGTCGACGGGGTTTCTAGTACTCCGGGATTTAGTCAGAAATAGTCAGGAAGTTTTTAGTGAAGGTATTACAAATGCGTATAGGGGAACGAGGCGAAAATTTTATGTTACTCTCTTGTCGATGGCATCTTGAAACTAAAATTGACTATCACGTTACGTGTAGCCTACGTCACAGTTGTCAATTCAAATGCATTTTGGCAGGAGTAGTTAATATGAAAAGCCATTTAAAATTGTAAGAACTCCACACCGAGCTTCGATGCATCTACAAAATTTTCCAAATACTTAGTCCTTTATGCTATGAATATATCCAGAACAGCTTGAATTCCCCTTAATGAACGCCTACTCACTATCAAGGAGTTATATTCTACCTCAGAACATAATCCGCTTACAGCTGGAAAAACATATTTTGATGTAATGAATTACATATGTACATCTACAAAATGAAATTTGTTCCATCTTAAGCGATGAACGATTGATGAGACTTAATACGAATATTGATTTGTTAGTACCGGAACTATTTCTTGCACGTTTATTTTCCAAAAGTTCTTCAACGGCTGCGAATGCCGCATTATACTAAAGCCCGTCTTTCGACATTAGCTACTACTAGTGAACCCGCATGGCGTTAATATTTATGCCGAAAATTGAATTTCAAAAACTCGGAGATCCGAGTGCCATATTTCATCAAAACCGTGCCTGAGTGAAGAGCAGTCTCGCATAGTGCGTATTTTTATTTTCATCGAATTTCAAATCACCCTATTTATTCATAAAAAAGTTCTTAGTTAAAAAATAAAACTTTATCATACTTCTACAGGTTAAGGCCTCTCATTTTTGAAATTCCTTTTCAAAAGTATTCTCAAAACAAAATCTTCTTAAATCTCTGTCATCTGACATTGTGATACACATGTTCGAACAAATGGCAACCCTCCTAAATAAAGGTCACGAATAAATCCCTTTCAAATCCATTTCGATTTAGACCCATCTTTTAGAAATTCATCCTCCTTAATAAATAATTTGAATGTAACTTTTTAACCGACTTCCAAAAAAAGGAGGAGGTTATCAGTTCGTCGGAATATTTTTTTCGTTTTTTTTTTATGTATGNGACTTCCAAAAAAAGGAGGAGGTTATCAGTTCGCCGGAATATTTTTTTTTGTTTTTTTTTTTTATGTATGTTGTTTATGTTCTTACCGCATGACTTTGGACCACGTCAACCAATTTCGATAATTCTTTTTGCATCGGAAAGGTAGTGTCTCAGAGGTGGTCCCATACTCATCTGGTTGAGATCCGATCAGTGGATCATGAGATATATATATATATATATATATTTTTTTTTTATATGGGAGTTGAAGTCGGTTTTTTTTTTTGCTAAAAGTTACTTGTTAAACACATTTTTAAACATTCCAAATGTTCAAACTAAAGATTTTTTCAATATTCTTTCGTTTGACTACGATATTTTTATATTTCATATTTTTGAATTAGTTAATTGAAACAGGTGGCAGTCCTTTTCAAAAGTCTTTTCACGCTTAATCATTGTTAACTCTCCTTCGCCGGACACTGCGATACATATTTTAATTAACTGATGCATTAAGTGGAATTTTATTTTCAAACATGTGGCAACCACGCTAGATACAGTTCAGGAATAGAAATTTTCCAAACCCCCTTCGATTGATACCCATATTTTTTTTATACTTCATTTAGCTTATAAAATAATTCGAATTTAACTTTTTAAGAAGGTAGCAACCCTCTTCCAACACCTCAAAAATATTCTTAGCGTTCAAACTTAAGATTTCTTAAGACTCCTTCCTTTGACATCTATATTGTGATATTTCGTATAACTTGTGTAAACTGAATTCGACATTTCAAAGAGGTGGCAACCTTCTTCAAAATATTTTCAAACTACTACTTTCTGAAACACCTTTCGTGTGTCACCCATATGGTGATACATATTTCTCTTATGTACATAGAGTATTGAAGCACTTTAAAAATAGTTTTTAACCGACTTCCAAAAAAGGAGGAGGTTATCAGTACGTCGGAATATTTTTTTTTTTGTTTTTTTTTTTTTATGTATGTTACCGCATAACTTTGGACCACGTCAACCGATTTCGATAATTCTTGCATCGGAAAGGTAGTGTCTCAGAGGTGGTCCCATACTAATCTGGTTAAGATCCGATCAGCGGATCATGAGATATATATATGTATATATATATTTTTTTTATATGGGAGTTGAAGTCGGTTTTTTTTTTGCTAAAAAATTACTTGTTTGTTTATGTTCTTACCGCCACTAAACCTTGCATTAGACGCACAACCATCGTAGCTATATAACTGATGCGTGCAACAAATGGTATCAAAATGAATATCAGTGCCTGAATAATAATGGAGTGGATGAAGAAGAACTTCCCTCCAAATTTGTCTGCCAATCGACCGGCGAAGCAAAGTGTAACCACATAGCCATAGTAAAATGTTGACTGTATAATGAATTCCTGTTTACGTGTCCATGCCACTCGGATTGGCTAGAAAGATGAAAAGAAATTGAAATAAAATTATATACAAATTTTGCGAATGTTAAGACTTATTTTGTTCTACGTACAAACTAAATACATCCACGACAATTTCAAATTAAAAAAAAAACCGCTACCAGGGTTTTAAAAAAATGATTTTTGTTTTTAAATTGCAAAACACGACAAAATCTTGACTTTAAAAGCGTTAACTCAGCGAGTTTATGAAATTATATGAATTAATTTTAATGACATGCTAAATTTATCAGATTTCATGTAAACATTTCGTGATATAAATAAAAAAATTTAAATTTTTTCAAACCCTGGCAGCGATCCCTGAAAATTTGGACAATTTAGAAGAAAAATAGAGAAGTGTCCCATAAAAAACTAAAGTGTTGATATTTTAAGAAGCACCCTAGTATGGTTATATATACATATCGGTACCTAAAGGTGAAAAGGTTCCAAAGGTGTTCCTACTCTTTCGTCCGAAATCGCTCTCTCTGGGCAACATGAGTAGGCCTTGTGCGAGATGTGTTAACGAGCTCGTGGGAAGCCTTGGAAGTACTAGGTTTAAGGGTCCTTAAAAATGTGAAGACTCTGTTCACCATGAAGTGGTGGATACATAAAGGTGCATTTAACAAAATTTTCCCAGTTTCTGGTAGTGCGCAAGAAATGCGATGGACGGGGCAAGACAACTAACAAATGTAGGCCTACTACAGCTGCCATGTAAGGGAGGGGGGATTGGATTTGTGGTTAAAGAGAGAGCTCGTCACTAAGTACTGTCGGTCAGTCCGGTGGACGAGCGTCTCGTCATATTCTGCAATAAAGCGAGATTCATCAACGCCTTGTTTATTTGCGCTCACGCCTCCACGGAGAGAAGGACGAGGTGACCAAAGATCTCTTCAATGAGCGCTAGCAGCGCAGTTACGAGCGATTGTCCCGCCACAATTTAAAAATGGTACTTGGTGGCCTGAATTCAGGGTGGGAAAGGAAGCCATCTTTGGGATTGACCGATAACGGACTGAATCTAATCGACTTCACCGGCGTCGAAACATGGTGGAATGCAGTGGCGTCTAGCTACGTGGCTGAAAATAAATCGATTAGAAATCAATATATGGAGCTGAAGAGGGAAGCGAAACGTTTTTCCATAACAAATAGAGAGATATCGAATTACGTTAGTGCGAAGAGCTTTAAATGTTAACCGAATTTTTTTTTATCAGAAAGTTAAATGACTTACTGAAAGTTTCAAGATCAGGGCGAAAGAGCAATTACATAAGAAAGTATTCTCATAACTCCCATTTGCAGTTCCAAGGCGACAAAAAACTTTGCCACACACACACACATAAATAAAACCGGCCCTATTTACTCTCTTTTCCTAAGACAGGAACTATACTCATTTTAGTATTTCTGAGTACAAAGGACTTGTAGAGGGTGTGCAATATGTAGGTACATATGTATGTATGTGTGCACATGAGGATGGTCCAAAAATGCCCGTGAAAAAAGTAAAGTCCGAATTTTAATGCTCTCACCCCCAAGGATTGTTTCATATTTAAAAAATATACACCTGCTTTTGTATATCGAAATCAAAAAATAGAGGTCGCTCAAAGCCCTGAAAGTTTTCCATGTATTTTAAGTGGGAACACATTTTTTTTTGTAGAAATGGTTTGGAATTCTTGGAAATCAATATTGTCGATCGGAAAACTTTGTTTCTCTTCAGGAGACTTCCAAGAAGAATATCTAATTGTTTACTTTACCAGTTTTTATTACTACCGAATCCTTTTTTATCGGTCCCCATTGCATATTTTGGGGTTTCCGGGAGACCTATGAAATATAGCTAATATTAAGAAATGGCGACCGCTGTGGTGTGGTGTAGAGCATTGCGCGCTACCATTTCGCAGGGCCAGGGTTCAAGCCCAACATTTTTTCTAATGTATTCTGCCATGAAAAACCCTTGTGAGACAACATCAAGGCGCACGCTACAAACCGGAGGAGAAGCTCGGTCTAACACTAACCTATTGTGTGAGCCCCAAGGTGAGTTGAACTGTGTTGAGTAGAGCTGAGTTCTGATAAAGCGAATTCAAGTGAAGTGAGTTTAGATAAGTGAAGGTGAGTTAGGATGAGGTGAGGTGATATAAGGTGAGCTGAGGGGAAGTAACATTAGTTGGGGTGAGTCGAGCAGGGAGGATTTGGACTTAGCACTTATCATAGCATAGCATAGCATGGCAAACTTAGCATAACATAACATAACAATACAACATACAATAACATAACATAACATACTATAACATAACATACTATAACATAACATAACATATCTCATTCCACAGTTGTATCTCCTTTTCTCTCAGTTTTATCTTCATATTTTCTTTTGCCTTTATCTGCATTCTTTTCTTCATCCACATAATCACCCCCACCATTGTCATTATGTCAAGAATGATAGAATACAAGATTGCGCTCATCAAAGAGGATTTTTGAATATAATTTTATTGTGACGTCACACCTGTCCAGTTGCGAGAGAGAAATGCTAAAACGCGAGCAGGAATGGAAGAAGAAGAAAAAATGTTGCAAGGAAAATGTAAACAAGTTGCACCGGTCCGAGATCGGCGCAACCTTTGTATTCTCTCAATCGTGGTAGAGACGGTGTCACTTTTGAATTGATTTTTTCACTTTATTTTAAACTCATTTGAAATTTGAGTAACTCTCTGCACATCAGCATCAGAATAGGTACCTTGCTAATGATATGCAATTATCTATATCTTAGAAGTATAGTTTAGCCGTATCGTCGCCCGTATGCCGGAAACATGAATGTGTAAAAATGAAAGGTTTGGGAAACTTAATTCTACATTTACGCAATTGGTATTCTGAGTTTTGATATAACGTAGAACATCCAAAGGTTAATCAAGTCAACCCAATAATTCAAAACTGATAAATTTGCACATTCATGCTTCTGGCATGAGTGTGACGATGTAAGATTATTTAAAAAAAAATGGTTAAGTAAAGAAATTGGGTATTATTATTGCAAGTCTCCTGAAGAGAATCAGCATTTTTCGATCGAAAAATATTAGGGCTGTTCAGGATATTGTGGTAATGGCAATGGATTTGTAGTTGGAATTGCATTTGCAAATTTTATGCTTGCTACCATGGCATTTTATTGTTGTGAATTTACAAATACGCCGAATATGCAAATAAAAGAGTATATGCACAAGATCCTGAACAGCCCAATAGATTTGCAAGAATTGTTTTTTCCCATTTATGTAAGTACATAAATAACATAAATGAACAACTTTGAGCGCTTTGAGCGACATCTAAATATTCTTTGATTTCAAAATAATAGATCAACGGTGGGCAAACGCGGCTCTTTGCTTAGCAAAATGCGGCTTGTTTTACTTTCTCTTTGCTTAGAACATTTTGGCTCTTTTTACTTTTTAAAATACATATTTCTTTGCTGGACATTCTTTTCCATTGTGTTGTTTGTTTTTTTTTTTAATTTATTCATTTTATATACACGTACGCAAATTGAGATCGGAATATTACCCGCAATTGGAGAATGAAAATTGGCTTTCTGACTTATGAACTGATTATGGCAATTTAACGTACCTTAGCGCTCTCTCTTAACAATTCTGTTAAATGGATGTTGCTTATAATTGAACAGCCCAAGCTTAACGTAACATAATGCCACGTCGAAATCTGTTTCATTTTGATTCTCTAAGTTCTACGTTCCGTTAAGTTAAGTTAAATTGCCGTAATTAGGCTTTTAATGCTCTTTACCGATATGATGGAACATTTGCAAAACTTGAATTTGTCTCTACAAGTAGAGAATAAAAATGTTTTTGGTTTGACGCAAATTATTTTAAGTTTTGAAGCTAACTACGTCTTTTTATTCACGATCTCCAAAAAAGCATATTTCATCATTTTCCATGGCTAGAACAAATATTGCACATGATTTAAAGGCGGATTTTGAAAAAAGATTTGCCGATTTGAAATTATTTAAATGTACGTTTGCATACTTCATAAACCCATTTTTATGTAACTTAATTGTGGATGAATTTACAGTATTCGAAATACTCCTTTTTAAGAAAAGCGAAAAAAAGTTGAAGTTTTTGGAATTAAAAGAAGATAAGGCCCTGGAAATGCAACATAAAGCTTTGCTATTGCTTGAATTTCGGCAATAATTACCAGATTTAAAATATCAGCTGCGTGCTATATATTTTCAATTTTTGGTATAACGTATAAATGTGAGACTGTACTCTACAATGAAATTCGTAACGCCAAAATACCGTTCACAATTAGTTGCATTCGCGTACCTGATAATTATTAAAAGTTATAAAAACTATCAGCTTTTTGTGTTTGCAAAGTAGGGGAAATTGAGAGAGCAAAATCACATTTCATTTTGAGGGAAAGCTCTAGCAGCTTTATGCTGGAAAAATTTTTGCCAACTGCAAATTGCCAACAAGAAAACAGAAATTCAATTTTTCTATCAAAACAACTAACAAAAAAAATAAAAATAATGAAAGATCTGGCATCTTCCGATTATTTTGTTTTGCTTTGCTGTTCGTTTTCGTCCCAATAAAACATAAAAAAAAGTGCATAATTCACACATCGTTTTTAAGGAAGATTTTCCGAATTTGCAGAGGTTGCGGTTTTATCGGGAGTGTCGGAAAACGATTTTGGTCCCGTCCCGCCCGCATAGACCTTCCCGATACCGCCCATCCCGGCCAATTTAAAATCAGTACCGTGGGTCCCGCGGGTCCCGATATCCCGCGTCCATCTCTAGTTTCGAAGTTAAAATAGTAAAATGCGACTAATGAAACTTGTAAGCAGTAAGTAATTATTCATTTAAAAAATTCGGGATTTGCTTTCTTACGTTTTCAGTTTTATACTTTTGAATGTAAACAAAATTTCTTTCAGCGGTTTGTCTAACTTGCAAGTTTCTGCAAATTTTCTGTTCGCGTACTATTTGGGATATTTTTCTCTTGTGAGAGAACAGATGCCATTTCGGCGGGATTTTGCCGTTGGACATCTTTTACTGGAGATTTGAACGAACGTACCTATTGACTAGCCAACATTTAACAGAACTGTTACGAACGGCTTTAACTGATATAAAACGCGATTTTGAAAATTTGGCCAAGGGGATGTTTTGAATTTACTTTAATATCTATCTTACGTACTTTAGAATAATAATACAATTAATGCTTTCATTTCTAAAAATAATTTAATTAAAAATACAATTTTTGTTTTTGTGGCTCTTTTTGTAGCAATTAGAATTTACATGTGGCTTTTATCGGCCTCGGCCTTGCCCACCCCTGTAAAAATAGAACAGGTATAGAAAGTATAGAACAATACTAGGGGGTGAGAGTATACAAATTCCGACTGTTCTTTTGATTGACCACCCTAATGTACATACACACATGCACATGCACTTACATATGTACATGTGTAGCATATGTTTCAACATAGTTGCCAACTTGGTGCTTTAAGCACTAGATTTAGTGCTTTTTGAAAATTAAAACGCCAAAAAAAAATTTTTAGTGCCCAGTGCCTTTTTTAGTGCTTTTTTCTGAACTAAAATTACTCCGATATAGTTAAAACCTGAAATAATTTTTAATATTTAAAGCTGTGGCAGCACTGAATTTACAAAAATCTACAAATTTAAATGCACTTAAATACAACCATGACTTAGTAGATATGCGAGTAAGTTAAGTATTTCTTTTTTTCTTTTCTAATTATTTGTAAAAATTTTTATTTTTGTACCACCTGAGTAAAACACATCGTTTCTTGGTGCTGAATCCAAATCTGGCCGAACAATTGCTCTAGCACTAGTATTTTGAGATATCCCAACCTCAAAGTGCCAAAATCACGGTTTTTGGCGATATTTATTTGAGGTTATATAATGAAAACATAAATTTGTTTTGCTCATTTCTACTTAGGGCATGATTTTCGTTTGTTGGGATTCGATTTTTCTTTCTTGAGATATATCAGTTTTAATGTGCAGTACTTCGGTATTACGTCGTAAGCATGAGTCATGTGTAGCATGTGTAGAGGCCATACAATCGATGTGAACAAAAAGGTTTTGTTTATTGATTTATGTATGCATTCTTGTAAATATTGTTAATTTTTTGTTTTTGTTAAATACACACAAACTGTTATGAAAAAAGCATCCATTGATTCAAAACCATTTGGTGCTTTTAGTGTTTTTTTTTCCAAGTTTTTGGTGCTTTTTGAAAATCAAAAGTTGGCAACACTGTGTTTTAAACAAAGAAAAAACCGCTACATGTGAATTCCAACATTTGGAATATTTTTACTTACATTTTCATTCGACGGCGAACTGTCTCTTGCATAAACAAACTGTGACAATGTTTCCAGTGTAGTATTCGAGTTATCTTCATCCTTTTTAACCATGCACAGTACGCTAAAATCGAATGTGTTGCGCATGCATAAATGCATAACCATAGCAATGAAGGCGCATATTGCATAGGTTAAACGCACCGAGCAAAGCAGCGGATAGTGGGGCGGCGGTTTATTAGGTTGTGCTTGCTCCACGGCAGCTTCATTTGACAGTTTACGAGTATTTTCAGTCATTACAAACAAATATATCTAATAAACAAACAAAAATATGACTTAAAATGGAATTAACAGCTGTTTTATGTTAGATTTAATTTTTTTTTTTTACACGCAATAGAGACGCGGACGGACTCACACCACGCGAAATATTTAGAACACTAGTTTTTCGAATTGCTAATTGTCCGCTGATCGACAGCTAAACGGCTAACCGTAAAACACGTTCAATATGCACTTCGGTGACGATTAGGTAATTTTAAAACAGAATTCGTTCCATTGTCACGTTTAAGTGAGGAATGCGCAAAAAGAGCACACTCCACGTTTAATCTAACAACAATTACATTTTCGAAGTTATTTTATGTTGAAATAGAATTCTCTTTTTCTTTCCAACGCCATTTCCAGTGGCGTCTTCCCCTCTCATTTGTGCAGTCTACGATTTTCCGCGCCAAACATGCAAATAAAAAACAGAAATTGTAGAGAAAAAGCAATGAAATTACTTTTGTTTTTTTGCGAAGTTAAATTATTAGGCTAATCATAAATGAATTAGTTTTCAACTTGTGATAAATAATCACAATACGGGCAACTACTTCATTGAAAATGGAAATTTATACGTATTAACAAATTTTTTTTTTTTACTGAAAACAAGAAATAAAACTATGGAAAGTAGGCTGATATTTGGCAGCAGGCTTCTAAGCTCATTGCTACACCGGCGAACCCATGGGGGTACGGGCTAGGGTTGCAAACCGTTCTATAATATATAGTATGGTACTATTTTTCCGGTCGGCGTACTATATACTGGCGAAAAAAAATATAGTACGCAAAAATAGTATATTTCTTCAATTAAAAATTTAAATATATGTCAGTAATTTGCACGAAAAAATTGTGCATTAAAATGGATGTCCTTTATACTGAAATAATAATATAAAATAGAATATTCTTTAAAGTAAAAGGTAGTTCTTAGTTTACTTAGGGCCAAATTCACAGTGCGTAGTTAACCACTGACAAAAGTTTAACTATTGATTTTGATATTCACAACGCTCAATTAACAAAAATTTAAACCAGCATGCCCCCATAGTTAAACTCTTGTGAAATTAAATTCTTTTTATTGGAACAAGCTTCAAATTTGAATAGAAAAGTATTGATTTTTAGAATTTGTTTCGTTTTAGGCGATAGGAATTTTCATAGTTGACTATTTGACCGTGAATATACATATATTCAAAGTTAAACTTTTGTTGGTGGTTAAGTTAACAATCGTTTAACTAAGCACTGTGAATACGGCCCTTAAAATTATTTCATTTCTACTCCCTATTCCAACAACTTCGGCAGTCACAGGAAAAAATTTTCCATCACTTTAAAATTGTGTTTACTTTTTCTTTTAAATAAAATACTATATATATTTGAAGTGTTTTATATTATTTCCAATTTGTTTTTGAAAAGTACTATAAATATCTTTGAAAATATTGACAACCCTAGTGCGGGTATTTAACCAGGCACGGAAAATAATCATTGTTTTTTAAATTTTAACCAAAAAAATCAACAAGTTGTAATCGTCTTAAAACAATTTGGATTATATGACGTATTTGTGTTCGTACGTCCTACTAGAATTTACAATGATTTTTATTTTTCGAGTTTAATCAATAAACACTAAAAATAATAATTAATATTTAAGCTTTAATCTTTCGCTCAAAGGAAATTATTACTACTTGCTTTTTATTTTTACGATCACAAATAATGATTATTTTATTATTTTTATTTTATCTCTCAAAGATAATAATTATTATTGAGTTTTATTTTTTAACTGCGGTACACTTTTGAAAAACTTCGGGATTGGCGGGTTCCGAAACTAAAAATTGTATATCAGGATGGGCGGGTTGGGGATTGATTATTTAGTCCCGCGCATATCCTTAAAATCCACATTAAAATATTTATGTTGAAAATTCAAGTTGTTCAAACTTTAAATTTGCGTACACGGAGCTACCAAGGAAAAGATACTGGTGGGGGATCTACCTCATCGTCTTCCATAATAATAATAACAATAATAATAGATTGGCGCTTACACATATCTAAGTGTTTGTCCGAGCTTCTACTCCGATTTGTGGTGAGCGCCTTAATGTTGTCACACAAAGCGGAGGGACCTACAGTTTTAATCCGACTCCGAACGGCGATTGTGTTTTTATGAGAAGCTGTTTTTCATGGCAGAAATACACTCGGAGGTTTGCCATTGCTTGCCGAGGAGCGACCGCTATTAAGAAAAACAATTTTTCTACATTTTTTTTACGATGTTGGTTTGACCAGGGCTTGAATCCAGGCCCTGCGGCGTGGATGCGCGCACTGCTTACCACCACATGCGGCCACTAAACCAGAGCTTTATGTATGCTATTTAGTTTGTCCGTCAAAGATAGACTTCAGTTGTTTAGTCAAATGTCCACAGAATTAGTTCAAACACACCCTACTTTGTTAGTGAAAAAACACACATGATACAAAAATTATTTTTCGTTCTTTTTTTAGTTTCAATAAACAACTTTTTGATTGAAAAGCAGATTTTTGACAATTGCTCAATCGTGAAAAATTCGAAGCGGCGTTACTCAATTTAAGTTTTTTGATAGAGGGGGTTTTTATATTACAAATTTGGGATTATATATAAAACAGTCGAATTAACATTTACCTTTTAAATATAATTCATATCTTATCTTAAAAATATTTAAATTTTACATTAAATTCGATAACCACTTCGCAAAACTTTTTATTTAGGTTAATAAAATTTTCACCATCTCTGGTTAACACTAATCTCCAGTTAAACATCATTACCGACGTTGTCAACACAATGTTATATGCATGGAGTCTGTGATGTCGGTACCGATGTTTAACTGGGGATTAGTGTTAACCAGAGATGGTGAAAATGACCCTAAGTGGTTTAACATTTCTTGCGGCACTTGATATTGTATCCATGCATATAACATTGTATCAACAACGTCGGTAAAGGTGTTTAACTGGAGATTAGTGTTAACCAGAGATGGTGAAAACGCCCCTATGTATACATACATGTGCGTACTTCCACTCCATAGGACCATGGTTAAATCGGGGCACCGAAATTGCGCATATGGAAACTGTGCATTTAGACATTATTTCGGTTTCAACCGAAACTGTGCATGTATGCTTTATTTCGGTTTTTACCATATGCATTATTTCGGTTTTAAACCGAAACTGTGCATGTATGCATTACTTCGTTTTTTTTTCATATGCATTATTTCGCTTTTAAAACGAAAGTATGCATATGCATAATTTCGGTATTTTCTCATATGCATTATTTCGGTTTTCAACCGAAACTGTGCATGTATGCATTACTTCGGGTTTTTCATATGCATTATTTCGGTTTTCAACCGAAACTGTGCATGCATGCATTATTTCGGTTTTTGTTATATGCATTATTTCGGTTTTCAACCGAAACTGTGCATGTATGCATACCTTCGTCTTTCACATATGCATTATTTCGGTTTTCATCCGAAACTGTGCATGTATGCATTATTTCGGTTTTTGTCATATGCATTATTTCGGTTTTGAACCGAAACTGTGCATGTATGCATTACTTCGTTTTTCTCATATGCGTTATTTCGGTTTTCAAACGAAAGTGTGCATGTATGCATTATTTCGGGTTTTTCATATGCATTATTTCGGTTTTCAACCGAAACTGTGCATATATGCATTATTTCGGTTTTTTTCGTATGCATTATTTCGGTTTTTTTCATATGCATTATTTCGTATGCACAGTTTCCATATGCACAATTTCAGGGTGCCGGTTAAATCCCTGGTCAGATCATAACCTAAAATAGCAGTCGTCCTTCGGCACGCAATAGGTTTGCCATGAGTTTATTTCTGCCTTAAAAACCCTTCTTATAAATCTATTTGCCGTTCGGAGTCAGCCTTAAAAATGTAGATGTCTCCATTTGTGTCATAACAACAGAACTCATGCCTCAAGTTTGAGGAGAATCTTGGCCAAACACTTATAAAAATATTTTAATTTAAAACCAAATATTTCTTTGTTCAATTATTTTAAGGCAATCTTCTGGTTTCACATTTTGAGTACAAAAATCTCAACCCTGATACAACAAATAGGGTTTGTACTGAAGGATAAATACTGATTGCACTCACATAAACGTACAATCATACATGATTGAGTTTTTTTTGCATGTGAATGGGTATCAATCATTCAATAACACACTGCAGAGTATTCTGCATTGTAAAGAAATTTTAAAGAATTCGTTAAGATTTAATTCGATTTTTTGCCGAATTTTCAAAAATGAAATAAATTACGCACACCTTCCTTCTTTTACGAAATTTCGGAAGAAAATCTGTGAAGCAACGAAAATAATGGTGCTATGTGAAGAATATCTTCTAGAATTTTTCCAGAATTTTCTTTATTTTTCGTACAGAAATTTCTTTACGAGTTCGTGTCAACCACTTCATATAATTTTCTTTAATAATTCGTAAAAAAGTCGTTACAGAAATGAGATACTCCTAACGATTTCCTTAAGATTTCGGGAACTTTGGTTTGCAGGGTAGATATTTTGTGTTTACAATTTATAACCAACCTTAAAAGTGGTTGTTAAATTTTTAAAATCAAACAATCACATTTTTAAAATGAATAAAATGTGAATGCACACTCAATTTATTCAATGAGCTCTGGTATATACATACTGTACCATTATTCGCCTCTTTTCCAAATCTGGTTTTCGAGAAATTGCAATTTGAAAACCGGTTCCTCATTTTGAAATGAAGAAAAAATGGGATAATCCGCATTTATTTTACATAGTTTTCATACAGTAAAAATGCTTATGTTGGTCATGACCAAAAATTCTCTATAAACATTTGGCGAACGCTCGAAAATTACCTTCGATATCCAGTATGCATATCGGACTGAGAACAAACTCATAATCAACTTTAGTTTCCCAACGTACCTACATAGTACATATATTGGAAATACACTCGAGATGGCTTCGAAAAAAAAAAATTGGTAACAAGAG